CGAGTATCTGATAATATACTTATTACTAATTACTGGAGTCCCCTTACAAACATGACAATGCCTGTACCAGGGGACTCCGCTCTACAATAACATGTTTTTTTTTCAGTAATATATTGTTTTTCAGTAATATATAATTTGATTTTTTTGATACATTTTCCTTTTATATTTAATTAACTATTACTTAGGTTTATACGTGTGTGCTATTCGTGTGGAATTATGGTAGCTTTAAAAATATTGAGTATGGAAATAATGTGTGATACATTATTTATTTGCAAGAATAATTCAGTAATTTAAATAATGTATATTTATACTCATTATAAATTTGAGTGTATTTCTTTGTTTGTTTTATTGTAAATATAAACTGATTATCTGTTGTATTGTTATCAAGCAAAAACTATTTAAGTTTTAGTAACCTGCAAGACTATGGTATTTCTTCTTTTATTTGCTAATTTGAAGTCTTTTTATGTCGTTTTAGAATTAGGTGACCTGTATTTAATTTCCGAATTGACAATAGATTATGTCGGCAACCCGACCAAAAAGTTATGTTATTTTTGAGTAGTGGCAACACTAACTTTTTTGTGTTCCCCTTCTACACCGACTAATGTTTCAAAGTGCATGGATTAACCTAATACAAGTACAAAACAAAATGGTCCTTCGAGCCGGATATGTTCATAAGCGACCTATGGATAAGATTGGTGTCACTCGGTTGATATACGTAAATTCGAAGTAGTGAACATATTTCGCCCGCATTGGGGTATGCAGTTGACAGTTCATATTCATTAAGATCCTACTCAGAATTACGCGCCCAATAGATACTCGTCGGTAATGAATAGTGTTATGAATAAAATATTCGTTTGCAGAAATGAACCCGAAATCTGTTGGTCTAGGTATATGTTATTATTCTGTCTTCGCGGAGTCCATGTCCTGTCTTCTGGGTATCTAATCTATCATTCGTTTAAGACCAATGAATTGAGCCCCTAGATATCGCCCCTGTCTACCAAATGAGTCATTGTAAAATCATACTGCATATGTGTAAGTAATAACACTACCTTATATGTATATAAGTCTGAAGTACACAAGATTATGCATTGAAACGCACACACACACAGGATAAATTATCTTTTGTTTGTTCTAATATTAACATTAGATGGAATTGTGAAATACCGTGATTATTTTATTGCCGTCTTGTCTATGGTTGACAACAGTATATATATAATGATGAAGTACCTATTTAAAAAAATAAAGCACTAAAAAGCACGTTTACTAGATGGCGACTCTAGCAAAAGTTGATTTTTATAGGAGATGATTGAACCAAAGATAGTTATTTCCATTCCTTTTAATTAACATATTAAAAAACTGATTTCTTTTTTACATAAAAGAAAACCGGAAGGGTTGTCATGGAGAAATCAAAGTACCGTAGCGACATCTAGTTTGATTTCGGGAAGTAATGTTTTAATTTAAATACTTATTATTTTACTGTATCTTTATTACGCTATAAGAAACAATTAAAAACTAATTAAACCGACTTAAAAATATCGTAACGAAGAGAAACAACTGAAAAGGGAGAAATAATACCACATTTATTTTATCTTAAAAAAAAATCATCGTTTTCATTACAGCCAATAGGCTAGTTGGCAACTTTTTTAAAAAGTATATAAATAAATAACCCATTAATATCTGAGATATAATGTAGAAGTAACACCATGTCTGCGATTAAAAGTTTCGGAGATATGGTGCTATGACTATGGATAGTCGGCTGGAAACGTTCCTTACAAATTCAAAGCACTGTGTGACGTCACACGGTGCAACGGTAACGAAAAACGTATGGGCGTCTGGACAATTTTTGTGGTATCTTTTTTATTAGTGCGTTTATGTTTATATCTCTTATAATGAAAATTGTAACGTTTTATGTGGCCATTTTAATGCCATATGTATTTTAGCAAATTTTTGTAGTATATTTTCCCTACTTTTCTTGAGTTTTCAAAGCGTAATATCTTGCAAAGTACTATCATAAAAACGATTTTGTTAAATATTTATAAGTTAAAATGGTACATATTTTACCTACCTACGCGCGAGACAGACGCGAACTTGGACAGTTTATTTTTACAGTTCCACAAGTTCATTGCTTTTTAATGTCATTACAATTCAGACTTGCAAATTTAAGAACGGCGGCACGACGACATTGAAGATCGCCAAGAAAATGTTAAACATGCACTACGGCTATTTTGGCTTTTCTAGAATAGAATAGATGGAATATATGGATGAATTTCATCGGAAGATTATAACAGAAACCATGAAAATTGGCGGCCATGTTAACATCATGTTTTACATTTTTGTTGTTTTTGTTACTAATATAATTTCAATTAAATTAATAGATGTTTGAAATTGCATTTGTATTATGTTGTGCTTATATAAATCCTAATATAACTATTATAACCTAACCTAGACACATTGACCATTATTATTGTATGCGGAGAACACTAGTTGACTTTCATTAGTCGTCTCGTTATGTTGCCTTCGGGGTCTCCCCGAATCGACTTAACTTATCGATTAGTGAAAACAAGCCGTGACTGGCCACGTGACTACGTCTCGTTTTTTTCTCAGTAGCAGCAGCTTCGCTTTTCCGTAATAAAAATCGGTGTCAACCTCGACGAAGTAAAATAAAATTTTTATCATCTCTTGAAGTAGGTTTAATTTGATTAAACCTCTATGCTATGGCAGCGCTGCGCTCGGCGACAAATTCGAGGCCGTTAACATAAAAGCACTGCAGATCGACTTTCTGTTCGCATGTAGAGCGGGTTTTTCTCCACTAACAGACTGGATAAAACCTGATATGATAATGCTGCGGTATATATCTTTTTAGTAGATTAATAACAGGCAATTATTGTACCGGAGCCTTGTCATATGTTCTGAACTACATGATGCCATTACAGTTGTGGAAGCGAGATAAAGCTATTAATGTATGTTGTGACACACTGGTGTTTTATATCGCCTTTAAGAGCTTTGGTAAAGCAAAATCCGTCTTATTTTAAAACGAGGACTAAAGTTACAACCAATGGCCGCCTAAAGCATATAGACAGAGACAGAAGAGAAAATGTCAGATTGAGACGTGTGTACATAATTTGGTCGCATAATAGTTAAAGCCACCAGGCTTAAGACTAAAGTTAGTTCTCGTTTTGCAATAAGACAAAAGAAGAGTGGTACCTACGTTGTTTCTATGTAATCTAATCTAATAATAAATATTATTATTTCTTAAATATGCTCCATAATACGAGTTCTTTAAATACTCATTTTGGAATCTGAGCGATGGATGTGATTTTGTCTAATATATTTATATTTATTTAGATACTAGTTTTTGTATTCAGTTCACACTACACTCGTGAATTGCAAAGACCTAATAATAGATTATTTTTTTACGATACAAATATTTCAATAGGTAATACTGGTTCGATAAGTCTGAGCGTATTTTTCCGCAATTGAATCATAGTAAAATTTCATATATATACACACATGTACACATAAAAAAGTTCCGTATTTTCACATTTATTTATTGAATTTCATTAACCAATGATAAGATTGTACATACTGCTGCTCGTCACACTACTCTAATATGTCAAATTTCCTCAATTGATTGTAAGCTTAACCAACAATGCAGGTTTAAAATCAACTGGAGAAATTTGATAGATTTGTATAGCCTGAAATGCTGTTCTGTAGAAATGGCGGATATAATACAGACGGTATTCTCTCCCATTCTACTTTTGGGCAAATAGACAAACAAAACTTACCAAACCAATTTAAAACTTATATGTCAATAGTGATAATAACACTAAATGATTAATAAACATTAAAGGTTCAGATGAAAAGGACGTATATTTAAAAAATAATCACCATTCGTTTGTTATATATATTTTTTTATCAACGTGTAAATAAAACCTCCACAGCTCGATGTAAAATTATAATAAATTTAGTTGGCTGAAAATTATACGTATTGATTCTATTTACACTGTTGATACTTTTGATGCCAGAACGCAAATATTTATTGAGTTCAATTCAATTTCTTCGTAGGTAAGTTTCTATTGCAGCTAAATACGAATTTTTGTATTTTTTTTTGTATATCAACCATTTGTTAACTAATTTATTGTTTCCTACTAAGATACCGTATGATCTCGAGCAAGAAATATATGTAAATTGACATTTTTCGCTACGTTATAAAAAGTTTATAACTATTGACAAAAAAAATATTTAACTAATTCAAGTGTTTATAATGGCTTTTTATCCAAAAAAACACTTATTTAAAGGACGATTTGCGTATATAATTATAAATCATTTAGGTACAATTGTTACCAAAATTAAAGATAACCTAACTTGGGTATATAAATGATATTGAATTAGTTTTAAGACATGATTGTAGAGTAATTCATTAAGTATTGATGTTATTTGTCTTGATAAAATGTCAACATAAACTTCCCAGAAAATATTTTACTCGAATATACCTACAAAGAAAGCGATATTAGTCACACTGAAAAATGAGTCTGAGAAAGATTCTTACAAAGAGTTTCATAACGATGCGCAAGTTTTAGCTAAACTTAACAAGAAGGTCAAAGTAAACCTAAATATGAAGACAAAGCATTGGAATTTATCGCAGGTAGCCAAATTCACCGATAAACTAAAAGTATATCGGCAAAGTTTTGTACCAAAAGTAAGCCGGTAACTTTCCATACTCCAAACTCGTTTATAAATTTAAAAATAAAATACGATTAATGAAAACCAAACTCTTTTGACAGCAAAAAGTTTACAACAAAAAAAAATATGCAAATTTATACGGCACCCAGACAAACTTAATAGTATAGTTAAAAATATTAACCGATTCACGCTCTCTCATTCATGGATTCCATGACGCGGGCATCGCTTTAACCTTCTATTTATAACAATCAAAAGTCAACACTCACACAAAGAGTTACAGTTCTAAAATGGTTCACCATCAAAATAACAGAACATACCTCGTCCAACGGCAGGGGTACACTGAACAACAGTCACAAAAATCAGCTGATCACTGGGTATAACTGAATTCACTGAGAAACACGTGCGTTGTGTGATGCTGTCGGCACACTTATGCGGTTACCCTGACTTCACTGCACGGAGACTGCTTTGCGTTCGAAAAGAGGCGAGACGCTCGGCGTCACGCCTCGCACCATAGCACGCATTTTTGTTCACACAAAACACGACATCCACTTTTTTTAAACAAAAAAAAATCTCTAGATACACACTTCCCAACGTCCACACCGCGGCCAGAATAGAACCAGAATGCCTATAACTGTCTGATAATATTGTTTACACAATGAACACTTGATAATTACTCTAGATGATTACATTTACGACATCAAATCCGTGTTATCTGTGGAATATTACATTATTTGCATAGAGCTTTTTGGTGACGAGTTTTATAGTTTTTTTTTTTTATTTTAAGGTCACTAACACGACGTCCGCCTTTTCTCTGATAAAATTACCTTTTTTAACTTAATTATAAATGAGAAGTCGGCGTGACTATTTAATTAGATTTCGAAGTGAAAACCCAGCTAAATAAACAGTTATATAAAAAACTTTGTTATTAAAAGAATACCGTGACGTTGACAACAAATCGAATGTTAAGTAGATGCAGATTGTTAAGATTCAATAACTTAGATATTAGTTTTTACAGTACTTCATTTGATTTTAAGCCTTCCTGTTTTGAGGGCAGATATACTGTTATTTAGTTTTATTATACTATTTTAACATGTAGGTTTAATAATCGGACGATAAAGAACGATGAATATGGGTTTGACGACTGTTCCAAATTAGTAATTTATCCCAAATATATCCAACAAAAGTCATATCCAAAGTAGTAAAATTAAACGAATAAACTGATTGCTAAAGTTATTAAGATGTGGGGTTATGGCCAGGCGGTCGCACCCGCAGATATGCAATACGCAACTACTCAAAACTAACAGTACTATTAATAAACAAGGTTTAGCGTTGGAGTAAATTTACCCTGAGTCAAAATTCATATTATTAAACAGAGACTTCGCAAAGGTTAACCTAGCACGAGGTTCTATATGAGTACCTAATATTTACTCATATAAAGTAGTAGGTTTGCTTATTCTCTGTATAATATGAATTTGGACTAATATTAAAATTACTATTTTAGTCTTAAATTTACTCTGACGCTAAATCTTGTTTATCAATAGTACTATTAGAGACCACGGTTCTTTCATGTATAAAAGTAAATTAGTTTTCAAGACTCAATAAACAACTAATATTCTTTTTGTACTTTTTCGTATTTGTAAGTAAATCTAAGTTTCGAACTTTGCGAATTTCAGTTTTTTTATATGTTAGTTAAAGAGAACGGATGACTATCTTTGGTCCATTCGTTTCCTGCAAAATCGACTTTTGTTAGAGTCGCCATCTAATGGAGGTGCTATTATAGTGATTTCTTTTTTTAACACTTCCTCATTAAAAATATATAACCAGTTCATAATTAGATAAATGAACAATCAAATTAAAATCATCACTATTCAATTGGACAATCAAACTATATAAATTTAGCGATATTTCATTTTATTTATACATACATTTTAATTCATTCGTGTATACAAAAAACAATTATCGGCCTTCTCACTTACAAAGATCTCTTCCAGACAAGCTTGGGATAGAGTTAAATACCTATAAAAGATACAACGATTAGGTAGTGGATGGTGTAACTTAAGCAATTTATAAATAAATACAAAGAAAATTACGAAATTAGTTTAAAACAGATGTACACATATACTAAATATATGGATTTGAGAATGTTGGAGCTAATTAGGGACCTACCTTTTTGTTGGCTTGTAATTATTTATACCTAATTTTCCTCGAGACATTTAGCTGTCTATATTAAATTAGTATTTAATCTACTTTCTAATGCACCATGAATAACAATCAACACATCACAAATAAGATATGTCAGTTGCATAACCGTCCATTAAGGTTTAATGACGCCTTTAAGCTCTAATGAATGTCAAATTTGTATGGGTAATGTCGTGTTAAACAAATGAAAAATTTAATGGCCGTTTGTGCAATTGGCTGAATCTCAAATTTTTTACTGTAATAAAACCTTCTTAATGAAAAATGTTTAAAAAAATTATCAAATATAGTTATAAAACCTGTTTAGTATTTTGTGATAATTTTTTATTTTTTTATTTGCTCTATTTATTATACGTTATGAAGTTAAAATACATATTAATATTAAAAAAAGATATAAATATTAAAAAAGTGCATTCACAAAGCTTATAATTTTTATGTGTATGTTTATAAGTAATATTACCTATAAACAATAGTGGTCGAAAGAAATAACAATCCATTTGAAAACTATATGACACGCAAAAGATCCACGTGTATTGCATATCTCACATTGCTTAGTGACGATTTACAAACAAAATTATTTCTTAGAAGACCGAAGACCTCACAGATTTAAAAGATAAACTGCAAACTCTGTAATGTATTAGGGAACCGTCAGAATGATTGTACCTATGTTAAAAATTTGTACGATTAATATAATGTTTGGAAGAATAAGTACCTATTGGCCGTAAACTACAAACGTTAACAAAAAAATTGACCAAGTTAAATTTAAAAACCTACAGAACTATTTTCTTGTCTTTTTTTCAAGGTCGATAATTTAGAGGGAATGTTCTTATTCTCATTTAAGGTTCTTATACCTATTAAATTCTTTTATTTAGATGTCAAACACTCATAGTTTGCAAAACTTGCAAAAAGGTCCAAGGGACTGCCATGTCTCAAAGTCAGGATACGATCACTTTTGGGACTTAACTTTCAACTCAATTGGTCCAGTAGTTTGAAACAAAATGTATTGTAACTGACAGACAGACATCCAAATGGTCTTTTTTTTTAATTCTTTTAATTTTTAATGGCTTTTTATTCTTTAGAACATGCCAACCCCATCATACCATACTTAAATCTAAATTCATTTGATAACAATATTTCACTAGGTAATTTTTTTATAGCATTTACTACAGCTTATCTTAAATTTACGAGTAATTTACATAGTTTTTGTGCAATGATAGACTTAGGTCCTGATAAAATACTTTGAATTAATCCTATATCTAAAACATTTAGTTTAAATTCTTTCATAAATGACTCCCTCTCATTTTTGTTTCTAATACACTCCATCAGCAAATGTTGTACATCTTCAATATTATTGCAGGCGTGACATTTGTCTGAGTCAGTCAACCAAACGGTCTTAAGACAACCTAGTGGTCATATATCTTGACTTTAAATATAAACCAGGTGAACCATAAGAAGGGGAAAGAAAAAAGTTTTATTCATATATTTTTTACCTTCTTTCAAGGTTGAAATGTTCAACTATCTATAGATTGTTTTATGAGTTTTTTAATGATGATATCATCATGAATACAATTTTGTCAATTTTAAACAAACTACACGTAATACTTATACATATATTTATAAGGAAAACGTTAACGAATAAACCACATATAGCCTACGCAAAATAAACATTTTACGCCCAATAGCTAAGTTGACAATATGAACTTGCATATTTTTACCGTGTGAAATACAAGTACTTATATATTCCAATAATTAATAAAATATATTTTTTAAACGGTTTTTAATTTAAATATTAACATGCCTTGTTTATTTGTTTGTTTGGCTTAATTACTAATTACAAGTCAAGATATTGGTCAAGTCCAAAAATCCAATATGGCCGCCTCTACAAAACGGCAGTTTACAAATTTAATCACGATTACCTCAATATGGGTATCAAATGAAAGGGCTTGACGAGTAAAACACAGTTCACTATGAATAAAAAATAAAACTCAAGATAACGGCCGCTACAAAAAAGTGGTTTACACATTGTATCACGACAGAACAAAGTTCAAAATGAATGAATGTATGTATACTTTATTGCACACAATAAGCGTTTACATAAACACATATTACAAGTAACATAGATGCAAAACCCTTGGGCAAGAGGAACTATACCAAATCAGTAAAGGAACTGCTGGCTAGTGCTTTAAAGAAAGAAGAATGAGAAAAATCATGAAAGTAAATACATATCGCACACCTAGATCTAAACTGAGACAACTCAAAAATTTGAGTGAGTTTTAACTTAGTGCGATATTCAAATACTCGGTGATTATATGCATCTATCCAACATAACAGATTCAATAAAGGTTTGGGGATGAGCCGCTAGATAACTTAAGCTTTCTTTTGTTGAATCAACAGTGGTCGCGCTCCTGCCACGTAAACAAATGTATTGTTAGACCTCCACATAAGTTTTTTGAGTTGTCTTAGTTTAGATCTAGGTGTGCGATATGCTAATACAAAAAAAAAAATAATAACAAAACAAAATAGAATACGTTTTCAGGAAGATGAATCCAGCTTGAGGAAATGTTCCTTGACATATATAATAAAGGACTCCCGTGATTGTGCACTCTGATATTTACTGGCAGTGAGTTCCACAGTTTAATAATCAAATCAATTAACAATAAAATCTACGGCGGGAGACCTTGTACCGAGAAGAACGGGTAAGAAAGTCGGCCAGGATTTGCTTTTTTCTCCTTGTTTTATTTCATACAGAGCGTCAAGATTCAAAATTACTTCATTAAAATTTGAAGTCACTTTCCATTACAATATTAAAAAATATAAAAATAAAACAGTATTTTCGTCAATCAAATCACATGTCCAGTCAAACAAGCTGACTGATAAATAGTTGAATATACTCGTACATAAAAATAAGCCATATGAAACACCAAGCACTTTTGTCGTTTAAATATAATATCCTTTAATGAGTTAACAATTCTCAATACCTATGAGTTAAATTAAGGCAAAAATAAATTTAAAATTTCCATAGGAATTTTGATATAGTAGTGTATACCTTGAGCCATAAATGTTGATAGAACCTTATTTAGCCTGCATGACGGCAAAACAAGTTTATCTTTGTTTCTAGTATTAATATTGTGTATATGACTATGTTTAATATAATTGTTAATATTGTTTCTAATTTAAAGTATGCAACTGTATATTAATTGGGAGGCTACTGTTAATATCCCAATTTCTTTTAATTTATCTCTAAGTGATATTCTTGAACCTAGTTGATAAATAGCCCTTACTGCTCTTTTTTGCAAAATAAATACAGACTCTATTTTTTTTTGGTTAGGGGGCAGACGAGCACACGGATCACCTGATGGTAAGTGATTACCGTCGCCCATGGACACCTGCAACACCAGAGGGGCTACAAGCGCGCTGCCGACCTTTG